GTCAGTCTTAAAAGTTCTCATCACAAAAAAATTCGCTAATTGTGGTGATGGATGTTAAGTAGTCTCATTATGGTGATCATTTGGGAAAACTGTACACAGCACTGAATCATGTTGTACACCTGAAATTAATATAATGTTCCATATAAATTATACCTCAATAAAATATATATAAATTCATAGCTGAAAAAAATTCAATAATCCCTGTGTTTTTGAGAACCAGGATTCTTTTTTGTTTGTTTGTTTGTTTTTATTTTTTTATTTTTTATTTTTTTACAAATAGTTTATTGTCAAATTAGTTTCCACATAAAACTCCAGTGCTCATCCCCACAATGCTCTCCTCCATGCCCATCCCTCCTCCCCCCCACATCCATCAGTCCTCAGTTTTTGTCAGCATTCAGGAGTCTCTCATGGTTTGCCTCTCTCCCTTTCCCCCACCATTTCCCCCCTTCTTCTCCGCCTTGTTCCTCCGTCAAGTTCCTCCTAATCCTCCTATACGTGCAAACATATGATATTTGTCCTTCTCTGCCTGACTTATTTCGCTCAGCATAACACCCTCAAGGTCCATCCATGTTGCTACACATGGCCAGATTTCATTGTTTCTCATTGCCATGGAGTATTCCATGGTATAGATAAACCACATCTTCTTGATCCATTCATCTGTTGATGGACACTTAGGCTCTTTCCATGTTTTAGCTATTGTGGAGAGTGCTGCTATGAACATTGGGGTACATGTGCTCCTATGCCTCAGCATTTCTGTATCCCTTGGGTAAATTCCTAGCAGTGCTATTGCTGGGTCATAAGGGAGTTCTATTGTTAGTTTCCTGAGGAACCTCCACACTGTTTTCCAGAGGGGCTGTACCAGTTTACATTCCCACCAACAGTGTAGGAGGGTGCCCGTTTCTCCACATCCTCGCCAGCATCTAGAGTTCTCTGATTTGCTCATTTTAGCCACTCTGACTGGCGTGAGGTGGTATCTCAGTGTGGTTTTGATTTGTATTTCCCTGATGAGGAGGGATGCTGAGCATCGTTTCATGTGTCTGTTGGCCATCTGGATGTCCTCTTTGGAGAAGTGTCTGTTCATGTCTTCTGCCCATTTCTTCACTGGGTTGTTTGTTTTTCGGGCGTGGAGTTTGGTGAGTTCCTTATAGATTCTGGATATTAACCCTTTATCTGATATGTCATTTGCAACTATCTTTTCCCATTCCGTTGGTTGCCTATTAATTTTCTGGGTTGTTTCCTTGGCTGTGCAGAAGCTTTTAATCTTGATGAGGTCCCAACAGTTTATTTTTGCTCTTGATTCCCTTGCTTTTGGGGATGTGTCAAGTAAGAAGTTGCTGCGGTGGAGGTCAAGGAGGTTGTTTCCTGCTTTCTCCTCTAGGGTGTTGATAGTTTCCTGTCTCACGTTCAGGTCCTTTATCCATTTTGAGTTGATTTTTGTGCATGGTGTGAGAAAATGATCTAGTTTCATTCTTCTGCATGTTGCTGTCCAGTTCTCCCAACACCATCTGTTACAAAGGCTGTCTTTTTTCCATTGGATATTCTTTCCTGCTTTGTCAAAGATCAGTTGGCTGTATACTTTTGGGTCCACTTCTGAGTTCTCAATTCTGTTCCATTGGTCTATGTGTCTGTTTTTGTGCGAGAACCAGTATTCTTGATGTTTAAGAAAGGATATAAAAATATAAAAGGGTTTAAGTAAAAATCCTGTAATCCTATATTAGAATGAAAGTATAAGTATGATATCTGGAGGTATTTTGTATTTTAAAAGATTACACACACACACAAACATATAGAATAGCATTACTGCCATTTTGAAATCATCAGTGAATGAATTAGTCCAGGGATCAACAAGCTGTTTCATAAGGGAGTTGATAATAAACACTGTTGGCTTTGCAGGGCCCATGACCACAATTACAACTACCCAATTCTGTTACTAGAGAAAAAAAACAGCATGGACAATGTATAAACAAATGTCTACAGCTGATAAAACATTATTTCCAGAATCAGGACTTGGGTCTCACTTGGCTCACAAAGGTTTGCTCACCTCTGAATTAGGCAATGAACAGGAACGACTACTAACATCAGAAAAGTCCAGGCAGTATTCGCCTTGAGAAAGGAGCAACACCCCTATACTCTGATCAGGTTTTGGGCTCCAGTTGGCAAATTATAAGAGACACACAGAACAGAAATCCATGTTAAATAGAGTAAATTTTAAAAATTCTACAAGTCACTCCACACAAGTTCTTCAACATAAATTGTAAAGAAAAGATAAGGTGAGAGAAGGGAATTTTTAATACATATTAAGTTATTTTAAAAGGGTAAGACTCTAAACAAAACATTGACCAATTGTTTTTTTAAGAAAAGAAAAAAGTTCCCGAGGCCTTGGCGGTACTTTTAAATTTGTATTGGCTCTTTCAGCATAGAGAAGGAGAAAGCATTTGTCTCTTAATTAAGGCAGTTTGAGCAATAAACTTTCTGCTGGCCTTGAACCACCTGTAAGATGACCTGTCTCCCACTGAACTGTGGCTCTGGCACCAGTAGAAGGTAGAAGGAGTCTGCCTTTGATGGCTTCGTGATTTCCCTTTCAAGACTCTCTTTCATTATCTCCTTCACACTCATCAAATCCTGCCTGGTCTCCTGTTTGCAGTGGATGATAATGTGTTTTTTTAATGTTTGGGATCTCTAACTGCTACTTCTTAAGCGTAAGGAACTTTGAAGAATGGAAACCCTACATGACCTAAAGAAATAGTGTCATTCCCACTGTATTGACAGTGAGGCTAACTGAATAATGTGTTGTCTAAACAGGGACACTTTTTAAAGTGAAAGTTAAGAATATCAAGACAACAGGGATAAAACAGAACTATGCCAGGCAAAATGGGAAGCATGGATATTCTAGTAAAAGGTGGCAATGTTTTTGGGCTGAGAAGAGCTGCTTATGGTCTAAATTATAGAGAAATGTAGATTAACACATGCTATGTCTCCTCCTTCACCTGGCTCTGCCTCTCTGTCATGTGCTGCTGGGACCTTGGCTGGGACCTAGCATTCCCTCCAACAAACTACAGTACAAGAGATAGTGCTCCATCTACCACCTCAGGGTAACTCACAAAGTGCATCCCTTCTGATGCCTGCTTCCACAAGAGTAGTCTTTTTCAAAGTGAAGTGCTGTCTTTCTTTCAAAACAAAACAAAACACTACAATACAAGTTTCTGGATGATGAGTCCACCAATTCTAAGCCACTCCATGTGTAAAAAGGAAGTTTCTATAAACTGTGCAATTTGAATGCACCAAGGGTCAAGATACCTCTCACACAACTGGCAACTGGCTAGACATTGTGCACAATTTTTCTGTTTGTTTGTTTGATTCTGTGTACTTGCCTGGAAAATAAATAGTTTCAACCAGAGTCTGTCAGAATATATTTTAGCTTTGTTTCTTATTTCTTATTCTGTACATATGTATGTACACAAATTCATGTACACTCTTTGTTAAGAAAGTGGACTTAAATTAAGATGTGTCAAAAGCAAAGAATGAAGGAAAATTGGTAATCTCAAAAAATGCTTTCTGATACATGGTATCACAGAATTCATCCAGTCCAGCAAACATGAGTTTGTCTACCTTATTCTTAAATATTTCTTTTTTATTAAATTTTTAGGTTTATTTATTTATTGAGAGAGAGAAAGAATGCAACCAGAGTAGAGGCAGAGAGACAGAGGGAGAGAGAAAGAATCCAAGCAGGCTCCGCACTGTTGAGCAGAGCCTGATGCAGAGCTCGAACTCACAAACTGTGAAATCATGATCTGAGACGCGATCAAGAGGCTGTCACCTCACCGACTGAGCCACCGAGGTACCCCGACCGTATCCTTAAGTATTTCTAGAGAACACACCATTCCAGTAACATGATGCCCTTAGAACCAGAAAGTTCCAATCCTTTTCAATTTATATCTTCTGAAAATAGGATAGTGTTGAAACTTCAAAAAAGGACAAGCAGATTGTAACTCAAGAGTTTTGAACATCTCTTTGGGGTTAGCTAGTTCTCTCAACCATGCAATTGCTCCCCTCACTTCTTCATTTTCCAGAGCTGTGGGCTACAGTGATGTCCACGAGGACTGCAGTTGAGAACTATTAATTGGCTTTCTTCCTGTACGAACACCCAAAGGTAAGCAGCAGCTTGACTTTTTGAGAGGTCATTGGTATGATGCAGAAAGTTCTGAGTTGCAGGATAAGTAAATATAAGATTCACTGATTTAAAGCCATAGCTAGCATTTACTAACTTTTGTAAAATATAGCAGGCAGCCCTCTCTGCTTTGGGAGTTTACAAGAGTCTAAATCAGACAGACAAGTGAGACTCGGAAATCTAATGAGACCAAGCGACAAACGCAGAATGAGAAACTGAAATGAAGCTTAGCATCCAATAGTGACTCCAAAACACAAAAAGTAAACCAGAAAAGCCTTCCCTGAAGACCCAGGAAAGTACCTGAAGTTTTCAGTAAGAGCTCAGTTTCCAAATAGCACCGTCTTTGCTGGAGAAACAATCCATGATTCACACTACCTCTGCAGGCAGAGCTGACTGACTTCCAAATGGCTCAGTACTGTGTCTGTGGAGTGGCTGCCCCAGGCCAGCCTTGAACACCACTGAGATTTCCCATGGGTGTCTTTGTGTGTATGGTAGAAAATGGGAGGAAAAGAGCCAAAATCACTTATTGGCCTCTTTCCTATACCTTTCTTCCTCTTATTCCTTTAAAAGCAATTTAATGAAGGTAGAAGAACATTGTAAAAAAAATATTTTCCACTGTACACATGCTCCTTTTTTAACCCTTACCACATTATATTCAAACTTGGGGTTTGCCTATCTCCTTGTAGTAGACTGATTATATGGATGGCCCAAAAGATCTCTCAGAATCCATGTCCTTTGCAATATGACTTTGCAGCTCTTCTCTTAAAGAGATGGAGTCTATTCCCCATCTGCTCCACCCCTACCTTGAATCTGGGCTGTACTTTAGACTTACCTTTAGCCACTAGAACATGATGGAAGTGATCTGGGGTCAGTCCTGTGGCTATGTCATCTTGTTCATTGCCCTTGATGTCTCGAATCCTCACCATCATGCGAACAAGCCCAGGGTAAGCTGCCAGACGATGAGAGACCACATGAAAGAAATCCAAGTTGTCTCATCTGTCCGAGCCAAAGCCCCAAAGACTTGCCAGCGCCCTGTTAAACTGCCTGCTGATAATCGATAAATGAGTAAGTTCAGCTAACATCAGTCGAGCCTGGCTTACACAAGAAAAACTATCCATTTGACTCAGAATCATGAACTAAATAAATGTGTGTCATTGTATGCTACTGTTGTGGGCTACCGTTCATTATGAGGCATTATGATGGCAATAGATAACTGCTGTACCTCCCTACTAAATTTATTGACACAGATATTAATATATGACAGATGGGTTAATAAATAAATAATGAGTGAATATATGACATGGATACTGTAAACTAGATGTTCTGATTTTAAAGGGATTCTGCTTCATTAAATACGGAAGAATTCTGAATTACATCTTATGCTTTCCTAACTGGAAACTCTTCCTCTGCCTCAGCCCATCTTAGAATGCCTAACGCTGAATGAGCATGTAGATCATTCTACCAACCTCAGACAACCACTGGGCCAGCTGTGCTCACCCTGTCTCTGAGCCAAAGTTATGCAAGCAGAGGATGAGCACAGAGGAATGATGCAAGACTGCAGGGTGTCTGCCCATTCTAGTCCCAGATGTGGCAAGGGGGGGTGGTAGTGGTTGTTCACTGATGTTTCTGCCAAGAGTGGAGGCAAGAATGAATAAACAAGTGTGAGTTGGAATGAGAGAAAAGAGAAAAAAGAAAATTTTTCTTCCCTCTCCCAGTCATGCATGCACATACATACAGACACACACTCATTACAGATGTTGCCACACCACACATCAAAATTCCATAAAAACAAACAAAACTCTGTGATGAATACAATGGAATCTGCAGCCAAGGAAACCAGAAAATACTTGAGGAAGTGTCCTGGAGGAGGACAGATACAGCTGTCTCAGAGGGTGGCACAAGGCTCCAGATTTAGAGAATGAGGCCGTCTGTGTGAGCTGGAGAGCTAAGAAAGGCTAGAGAAGGATGACTTGACCCAAACTTTAGAGGCCCGGCTCAATGTGGCTATATCTTGAGGTACAACTAGAAGTCTGGATGAAGACACATTGCAAAGCAAATAAAGGCTTGAAGGTGAGACAACCATGGAAAATTTTCAGAGGAACTAAGTGGCTGCAAAAAAACTTATATAAAAGATTTATAATATTAGATTGTATGGTGCAGCCATATCTTTGAGCGCAGATGTGGAGAAGTATTGGTAAAGAAAGAGGCAGATGGTGCTGTACAAGTATGAAGGGTTACGGCTTCATTCTAAGGCAAGGCATGTGACGAAATTAAAATGAAGTTATGCAAGTCAAAAACAGAAAGCATTTGGACAGAGGTTAAAATGGGCAAAATGCTCTCTGCAAGTAGTCAATAAATATGTACCCATGAAAATATACTTTTTGCTTGAGAACTTAGATTTACAGTGCATTTCCCTGGTTTTTAAACTCTTCAGAGTTGGTGAGACTTTCAAACCAATATTTACAAGGGATCTCAGGCCTCACACTCCATAATTCTTAGGGCTGGCAGAGGTGAACACTTCTCTTTTCATCACATCCCAACACAATAACTGATACAATCTTGCAGGAGTCTCTGAGCAAACAGCTGTGTTTAAACTCACATTTCCTTCTGTCACAGCCTGGTGATTTGCGTTTCATTCCTCCGCCTACCTCCCTCCTTGAAACTGTAGTCCACAAGCTCACTGTTCCTGCCCACGTCCCTCTTCTTCTTTTTTTTTTTAAGTAATCTCTATGCCCAACATAAAGCTTGAACTCTCCACCCTCGGGTCAAGAGCTGCATGGTCTTCTGATTGAGCCAGTCAGGCGTCCCTGCCCATGTCCCTCTTGTTTTTCCAATGGGAGGTGGGTGGCTGGCTCATAAGAAGGTTCTTCTTAATATTGCTCCATTCATGGGTTGGAAACAAAGGCTTTCTCTTATCTCTCCTGTCTCCTCAATAAGATGAGCAAGTGTTGTTTTAGGGACGCCTAACCCTAAAGAATATGGTGCTGCTTGGAGAGTTTGCTTTAATGCCTCTCCCTTTATAACCTTCAAAAGAGCTTCTTCATCAGATTTAAGGTATGCTATGTCACTCAGTGAGCCAAACAAAAGCAGAATACAACTCACATTGACATTTATGGTATTTTGTACTTAATGACTCTTATACTACACTTCTTAAATTACTCTCATAAAAAAAAAAACCCTGAATTTGAAAAGCTATTTTTCTCAACTGCCACTAATACACTCATCCCATTTTGCTCTGTTGCACAATTGAGCGTGACAGATTTAGTCAGTTTTGATGTGTTCAAATTCTTCCTTTACTCTGGCTTTGCAGACTACAATGTTTTGATTTTGTCTTTGTTTTTTATGCTAAGGACAAACTAAATTTTCAACCACTTGTAACCATCCGATTTTTAAAATGTATCCGTCCAGTGGTTTTGCTTTTGTACAGAAAAGCAGACCACAGGCCCGTACAATACAGAGAGGATCTTCGGACGTTCCATCTGTCTTATGAACAAGGAAAAAGCAATTTGTTCTTTTTGCCCCAAAAGGAAGATTTGGCGTACTTCTGCGGTTAAGCAGGGCTGAGCCAGGGTTAAAACAAGAGCAAGGCACCTGTGTGCGTATAAGATTAGGGCTTTGACAATGGTAATAGTTTATCTATTTTTACTTAGTGCTACAAACATCCTACAATAAATATTACTCCGGAAGGAAGCTCATGTAATAACCTAGCTCTTTTATCTGCAAGTTCCAGACATTTTCATTAAGTCATTCAATACCAATAGCATTCACTGGACAAAAGAGCTGAGGCTTATAAACCAAAGTATCATTTCTATAGATGGCTTATTCTAACTACTCTTATAAACGCAGTCTTTGTTCAAAATCTGGGTTACCTACAAAAGAGAGAAAAGACAAGAAAGGACAAGATAAGAAAAAGCAAATGCTATTCTCTTAAGAAACAAAATTAGTATTTCTGAAGGCGATGAAGGCAGTAACAGAAGAGATCTGCTCCCAAACCTATTTTTTTTTTATTTCAACTATAGATGTCCTAAAAAGGACAAGAATTGGTATAACAAAAGCATGAGATACAGACACTAGGTGCTAATTCTTACATATCTCATAAATTAATGAATTCATTTCTTCATTTTACAAACATTAATGGGCAACTGCTGCATTTTAGGCACTAGGCACAGTTCTAAATGCTAAAGCTACTCGAGTAAGTAAAACAGCATTCATAACCTCTAGTACTCACAGTAGAAAGGAAGAAACAACTACATATAAACAATTATAATAAGATTCAAAATGTTGACAGACAAAGTAAATTATATGTGAGTTGATCTAGTTGTCTTTCATTATTCATTCAATCATTATTCACTCATTCAACATATACTGAGTCCTTCGTTTCAGGCATTGTCCTTAGACATGGGAGACGAAAATGAAGAGGATTCTTAACAGGAGTTCTCTTACAGTTAGAAAGATGCCATTTACCACACGATTGACAATACAGCATGAGATGTGCTATTAACAGTTAGTCATAGAAAATGGGGCAAATGGCTCTGCCTATGTGAGCTGAGAAAAGCAGTGACAATGATCCATTACTCAACTGACAGAAAACCCTAACCTGCAAAATAAGGATTTTCTACAGATGAAACAAGTGGAGAACCTTTAAAGATGTAGCCTTTCTTATTTGTGAACATGCTCACTTTCTTCCTACATTTGGTTTATAATGTATTTCAGGATTAAGGTGATAATCTGGACACACCACTCCTAACTGCAGCCTTCTAGGGTGTCAGCCATGGAGGCAGTTTAGGATTGGCTATGCTGGGGAAATGATTAGATGCCAGGGAAAATGGGCTACAAGAAGAACTTAACTGGCAGTTTCTAATATTAGAAATGGCCTCCATGGGGAGGATGGGAGACAGTGGAGTAGGAGGACCCAGAGCTCACCTGTCCTGTGGATACAACCAGGTAATACTCAGGTCACCATACATAACCCAGAAAATGACTCAAAGACTGTCAGAACAAACCCCATGACTAAGGTAGAGAAGAGGCCACACTGAAGGGTAAGGAAGAGCAAAGACATGGTTTTTGAGCAAAACAGACCGTGTCCTCAGTAGGGAGGAAACCAAGGTCATGGAGAAGGGTAAAAAACAGACTATCACACTGGGGAGGCTGCACAGGAAAGAAAAATTGCCATAACATTTGGCTCTGAATGTCACGTGAGAGGGGCTGAATTTCATGAGTTCTTGTAACAGCACGACCTAAAGCCTGGCATTTTAAAAATTGGTGGGCTCACCTCTGGGAGAATCCAGAGGCCCGAGAAGCTAAGTTCTTACCCTTAACGAGAAAGCACAACAAACAGCCAGAAGAGATATAGCATAAAAGCAGCAGTCTGAAAAACACAGGGAGAAGACTAAGAAGAGGAGGTATTTAATCATCTCAGAGCATGACTGGAGAAGTATGTGCCATTTCCCTTCCCCGACCCCTGTATAAATACATGGCCACCTGCAGGACCAAGGACAGCACCTACATTCACTACCCAACTTGTTTATACCAAGCCCCACTCCTCCACACTTCAGCAGATCTGCCTTTCATGCTTCCCTCAGTCCTGGTACTGTGGGCCCCGTCTTCTAGAAAATGGGTGCAAAACCAACCAACACCTCACACCCTAACCCACAAATTTTGGGGACCTCAGTGGCTGCAGTGGCAGGTCTCATTTTGCAAGCAGACATCTTGTTAAAATGCACCCTAGTTGGCCACAGCCCAAACAGTGCCCACAACAGGCAGAGAGCCTCTGCAGACAACTAGACTGAAGGAAAAGTGGCCATGACACAACAACAGAGAACGTGAAGCACACATAGGAGATACTCCCTAAAACAACAGGTTCTGGGGAACAGAAACTTCATTGTAGGGCACTATAAGAACTATGTTTCATAAGGCCATTACTTTCAAGAGAAAGAGACATAGCTGACTAACACAGAGAAACAGACACAGAGAGACAGACAAAATG